AACAAGGGCACCTGAACGAAGCATATTTGTATACCTAACCCTTAACTGTACCCCACAATAGCATAATAAAAAATATTGATTATAAATAAATAAATAAAATAATTGCAACTGGGCTCGGTGACTCAGCCTTTAATCTCAGCAATTTGGGAGCCTGAGACGAGTGGATTGCCTGAACCCATGGGTTCGAGAACAGCCCAGGCAACTTGGCAAGACCTCGTATTTACAACAAATAAAAAATTAGCCAGATGTGGTAGTGTACGCCTGTAGTTCTGGCTACTTGGAAGGCTGAGGCAGAAGAATCGCTGGAACCCAGCAGGTTGACGCTGGGGTGGCTGTGACCATGCCACTGCACTCTAACCCGGGTGTCAGAGTGAAATTTCAACTCAAAATAATAATAATAATTGCAAACATTCATAAAGCTCTCGCAGTATGCCAGCCTCTGTTCTAAGTGCTCTGCATACATTTTTTTCCCACCTCATCCTAGAAGCAACCTCAGGAGGTTAATGTTCATATTATCCCTTATCCACATTTTCCAGAGAGGCCAAGGCACAGAGAGGGCAAGTTATTGTTAATATGCCCACACAACTGGTTAATGGCCGGGAGAGGATGTGACAGAGATGGTCTGACCTTGGGCCATGACTGGGTCAACTACTAAGTCTTCATACCCGTTTTTGAGGGTGTGGGAGGGAGAGAGGGAGGCATTCACATTTTCCCCTTAATACTGCCCTGAATTTTGTGGTCTGGGGGTCCCAGATCTCCCAGGGGCCTCTGTCTGACCACAGCACCAGGTTGTGCTGGGGCGCTGGGGGGGCATGGGCAGGGCCCACTGACTGCTGTGTCCCTGCAGCGGCCGTGGAGGCCTGCGTCCTGCACGGGCTGCGGCGGCGGGCAGCTGGCTTCCTGCGCAGCAACAAGATCGCGGCTCTCTTCATGAAGGTAGGCAAGAGCTTTCCGCCAGCAGAGGAGCTCAGCCGCAGGGTCCAGGACCTGGAGCAGCTGATGGAGAGCACGTGAGTGCAGGGTGGAGGGGTATAGACAGGGCCATCCCCAGAGGATTGTCCACATTTCTCCCCCTGAATGGAGAGAGAGCGAGCCTGAGCCCCCGGCTCCCCTCACTCTCCATCATGCTCCTCACAATCACCAGACTCTTTCCCACCTCAGGGCCTTTGCATGTGCTGGACCCGCCACCAGGCCCACCTACCTGATCCTCCATGGATGACTCCTTGTCATTATTCAGGCCTCCCCCTCGCTCAGCAAATTCCAACCCCCCCATCTTCTCTTTCATATCACCCCATTTATTTCCTTCACAGTTGTTACTGATTGACCATTCGTAATCAGTGATTCACTTGTTTGCTTGTGTATTGTTTTCATGATTGGTATCTGTCTACTGCACTTGACTAAGCGAACAGCAGTTACATGTGTGTCCCGCCCCTGCTTCTGTCTCCAACGACTGGGGCAGTGTCTAAACCTGGTAAATGTCTGAGAAACAATTGTTGAGTGAATAAGTGCCTCCTGGGTGCCAAGCCCTTTTCTAAGTACAAGACAGCCAAAGCTTGATAGAATGAGCACGGCCTCTGTCTGCATGGACCAGATGCTGAGGCCACTGGTTAAACTCACATCGATAGGTCGATCATAGCGCGCTTGAACATGCTGATTTGAAATGGGGACAAAACCTCATATTGAAGCAACCATTGAAGGGGAGAAGCAGCTTCTTTTGTTCCTGGTGGCTGCTAGTGTGTGTTGGGGGGAGGTGCACGGACCCACTGTGTGCACATAAGCACCTTCCACCACAGCCACTCCCTGGAGTCCTGACTGCACAACCAGATTACCAACCTGGAGCCTGGTCAGGAGTGGCAGATAGGTTGCAATTCCAGTTGGTGCTAATGGCTGCCCAGGAGACTGTATCTGAAAGATTCTGATTTGTCATCCTTGGGGGAAATGTGTGGATTAATTGGTCATGTCTGTCATGTGCAGGGATGAGACAGGCATGCCATCTGTCTGTCATGTCTGCTGCAGGTGGTCACCCCACTTCACTGGGTGAGAAATAGCCATTTCCTTGTCCTTCAGGCCCTGCCTACCCAGGGCTGCTGGCCACAGTGGTATGGTGGGCAGAACTTGGGATCTGGCTCTGCCAACTTGCATTTGGAATGACTTCTCAGCCACCTGGTCTTTGGGCACTTTCCAGTCCACCTGCTAGATTCCTAGATGTTTGCAAGTAACATCTGAAAGGGATGGATTTCTGTGAGCCTTCCATAGTATTGGGAGTGACTTCCTGATGGAGGAATCAGAGATGCCCATGCTGAATGGGAAGAGAGAACCATATTCATTATGCTCTCACTCATTCATGAACATGTTTCCTGAGCCTCTCCTATGTGCCAGGCATCATGCCAGGCCCTGGAGATACAGACCTGAAGAGGCTTGCCACATGGTAGATCTTAGTATTTTACTTTTTTAAAAAATTAGATTGCTAGTTCCTACCCTCAAGTTCACAGGGTAGAGAGGAAGAAAAGTGAGCAGGAAGTGAAGCTTCATAGGCGGAGGAAGCACAGACCAGCTGATCTGAGAGGGTTTCCTGTAGGAGGGATACCCACACCGAGACCTCAGAGTAAGAAAGATCAGCCCGGGCATGGTGAGGAGGGAAACCAGGAAGAAGCAGCAGCCCATGGAAAGGTTTCGGGTGAGAGTGTGGCAGCCTCAGAATCTGCAGATGGCTCTGGCTGGCTTATGGTGGGAGCAGCCAGTGATAAGATGACTAGAGAAGTGAATAGGGGCAGGGTTACAGGACGCTCTGCTGGTCGTGTTAAAGACCTTGCCCCCCCCACCAAAAGGCAACCTCCTCCAGTCCTCACCCACTGTGGGAGCTTTTCTGTCCTCTCAATAAATCCTGCTTTAAGAAAAAAAAAAAAAAGAGCTTGCTTCCCAAGCACGGGGAGAGCCACAGAAGGATCTATAACCCAAGGCTCTTCCTGGCCAGCACTCTTTTCAGGAGAGAGAGAAGGGGGAGTGGGGAGAGGTATCAGTATGAGAATCAGCCTTGCCTGTGAACGTGTATGGACGTGTCTATTTAACCATGTCAGCACATTCACGGGTGCTGTTATTTTTTTCAAATAATTATTTTTTCAAATAATTCTCATTTGCTAGGAGCATTATGAGCTCATTTTTGTTGCATTCCTTCATTTGCTAGAGAGGCCGAATGTTTTCCCATTTGCATGTTGGCCCTGAGGATCTCCTCTTTTGTACATGTCTGTTCTCCTCCTGTATTGGTCTTGAAGGAGAAACCAGATGCAGGGCCTCCAGGAGAATGTGCGGAAGCTGCCAAAGTTGCCCAACCTCTCTCCACTCGCCATCAAGCACCTGTGGATCCGCACCGCATTGTTTGAGAAGGTCCTGGACAAAATTGTGCATTACCTTGTGGACAACAGCAGGTGAGAGGGAAAGACCAGACACCTGGGTGAGCTCTGCTTTCCCCTGCTGGCCGTCAAGGGAATTGCACCAGCTTGCCAATGCCACTTTGTTTCTCCCCTTGACACGCCCTTAAGTTTGAAAGTGACTGAACAAATGCCTCCTGGATACTTGGCCCTGAACTAGACTAGTGCAGGGTCTTCGTGGGGTGTAGTGTTCTTGGGTTTGTTCGTTCTCCTGTGAATTTTTCCACTTGATTACTGTGTGGTCCTGGGAGAATCATTCAGCCTCTCTGTGCCTCTGTGGAACAGGGGGTTGCTCCATTCCAGATAAGAAGTGAGAAGGGAACTTAGCGAATACGTGGCATCTCGAAAATGCATAGCGACCCCTTTTTACATGTTCTCCCCTAGCTCAGGTTAATCTGGTAGGCAGGCTTGCTAGCATCAGTCCTCGAGCAAGTACTCATCATGCATCCAATCAATATTTAATGAACACATGCTACGTGCTGGGCGTGAAGGTAGATGTTGGGGATTCAGTGCAAATGGCAGCCTTATTACAGAGCTTGTACACTATATCAGAAGCAGTGGGAGCCACTGAAGTCTATCATGAGAGCCTCCTCATGGCCAGAAAGCCTATCCCGCTCCTGAGAGGTGGGGGCAGGGTGAAAGAAAGAGAGAAATATCTCAGAATCTCTGTGTCTTTCAGTCTGTGAAAGTACTGGTTTCACCACATCATCAGACACAGTGGGTATTACGATTATCTTTTCATTCTTTGCCCTTTGTGAGGAAACGATGTGTAAAGGTACAGAGCAAAGCCTCTCTCCTCATGAAGCTCACACATGAGCAAGAAAAACCAGCAAATGGCAATGGTGATCAGATGTGGGTGTTCCGAGTGGGGGGGGGGGGTGTTCAGTCTTCTCTAGATGGTCAGAGAAAGTGTCTCACCAGGTGCCATTTGAAGGACATGTGGGCCTTAGCCAGGTGAATGGGGTGGGGAAAAGAGTGTTCCTGGTAGAAGGAATAGCAGGTGCAAAGGCTCAGAGACAAGAGAGAATGGAAAGAAATCCAAGCTCTGGATCTCCTGTTAACCTCTTGGTCTTCTAGTGCACTGTCGCTGCCTCCTATCCCTGAGTGGTCCCAGGCCTCTTCAGTTGTTGCCTTTGGCTTGTGACCTTGTGCTTTCCTGCTGAATAAGTCATTCAAAAGGAATTAGTGGCCAGGCACAATGGCTCATATCTATAATCCCAGCACTTTGGGAGGCTGAAACAAAAGAATTGCTTGAGCTCAGGAGTTCGATACCAACCTGGGCAACATAGCAAGACCCCATCTCTACAAAGGTAAAAACAAATTAGCCGGGTATGATACCACGTGACTATAGTCCCAGCTACTCAGGAGGCTGAGGCAGAAGGATCACCTGAGCCTAGGAAGTTGAGGTTGCATTGAGCCATAATCTTGCCACTGCACTCCAGACTGAGCAACAAAGAATCTGTCTCAAAAAATAAAATAAGGAATGAGTAATTTATTTGAGCAGCAATGTCATCTTGCCATGTTTTTCTTTAAACTTTTTCATTTTTATTTTGGATTCACATGGAAGTGCAGAATTAGTACCTTAGTACAGCCTAACCCCAGTGACATCTTACCTAACCACAGTACAATAATCAAAACCAGGAAATTGACATTGGTACAATACTATTAATAACCACAAGCTTTATTTAGATTTCATCACTTTTTCACACGTACTCATTTTTGTGTGTGTAGTTCTATGAAATTGTAACACATGTATAGTTTTATGTAACCAACACCACAATCAGGATGCAGAGTTGTTCCAAAGAAACTCCCTCGAGCTACCGTTTACAGTCATGCCTTGGTCCCAGGCCCACCTGCTGTTTTTTGAGGCAGCATTTCCAAGCTTTATGATCACATAACTGCTGATTTTTGGACTGGACACGGAGTGGTACCAAAATAGGAAGTATCTTGACTCATCCTTTTAAGATGTGACACCAAAATATATAACCTTGATACTGTTTAAATCCAGGACATATCAGTTCTGGCTTATTCTAGTTGATGGAAGATTTCACTTGGGTAAGACTACGACAATGCTGCCAGCATTTCGTGAGTTTCCTGATATCAAATTCTGTGCTGCTGCTATTCAGACATGTCATCATCTCATTCTCTCAACAACCCAGGCAAGTGAGTTCTGTCATTCTTCCCATTTCACAGCTGATGCTACTGAAGGTCAGAGAGGGGTGCCACTTGCCCAGGGACACACAGCACAGCAGGGACTGGTAGAGAGCTGGACTCCCACCCAGTCTGTCTGCTCATCCATCCTTCTATCTACCACCCACGCACTGTCTACTCATCCACCCACCATTCATTCATCCATCTGTCTGACTCCAGATGCTGCGTTCTTTATTTTTTGAGTTGGAGTCTCACTCTGTCGCTCAGCCTGGAGTGCAGTGGCATGCTCACGTTCACCCCAACGTTGACCTGCTGGTCTCCGGCCATCCTTCTGCTTCAGCCTTCCAAGTAGCCAGAACTACCACACCCGACTAAGTTTTTTGATTTATTGTAGAAATGAGGTCTCGCCAAATTGCTCGGGCTGTCCCCAAACCCGTAGGCTCAGGCAATCCCCTCACCTTGGCCTCCCAAAGTGCTGGGATTATAGGCTTGAGCCACCACGCCCGGCCGCCTTTGCTTCCTTTTTGAGGAAGTACCAAGCCAGCTGGATGTAGCCCAAGCTGGCATCTGCCTGCTGTGTGGCATCCAGCAAAGCACTTACCCTCTCTGGGCCCAAGATCTTGAGAGATCAGAGCAAGGTTCTCTTCAGCGCTGAAATTTTGTTCATTTCTAGACTGAGTTTTCGAGGAATTAGAAACCACTACAAAATAAACAAGTCCAAAAACATTCAACATGAAGATTGTATTGATGGATGGTGTCGCCTATTTTGCAGAGCCAAGTCCCAAGGGGCATTTCTGAGTGTCTCAGTGTGCTCAACATTAGTTATAAGGGCAGGAGAACCTGTCAACACAGCCCTCCAGTACACACTGCAGCTAAATGGCATTTTATCACCTCATTAATAGAAGGGCAGCCATCATCTGAGCCCCTGAGTGCCCTCCCATCTCGAATGGAAGCTATGGCAGAGGTAGACAGAATCAGCCAGGCCTCGCAGCTTCCATTATTATTCCTGACATACATACAGTTTTATGTAACCAACACCACAATCAGGATGCAGAACTGTCCCCAAGAAATTCACCACCCCAAAGAAACTCCCTTGAGCTACCGTTTACAGTCACGCCTTGGTACAGTCACCAGTCCTGCCTGCTGTTTTTTGAGGCAGCGTTTCCAAGGTTTATGATCACATAACTGCCGATTTTTGGCATGGATGCGGAGTGTTCGCATATTGAACAAGTACATACCCAGCGCTGTGTTAACTGCCTTCCATCTGTTGTTTCTCTCAAAGTCCTTATAACAGCCCTAGGAGATATAGTATCATCATCCCCATTTGGCAGATGGGACTGCTGAGGCTCTGCTCCATAACTGGGTGACACGCGGGGATTGAGCACAGTCTGGCAATCTTGCGCTCCCTGCTGGTCTCCATCCAAACCTGCACATCCTTTCCTCTCTTGCTAGTAAATACTATGAGAAGGACGCCCTCTTGATGGATCCTGTGGACGGCCCCATCCTGGCATCTTTGCTGGGTAAGTGGACCATGCTCTGAGCTGTATCTCGGGGTCCCAGGGATACCTCCTCATGGCTGCTGTCACCCCCATCCAGCCTCACCCATCAAAACTGAGCTGTTCACTGTCCCTTGCTCCCAGTGCTTTATCTTTGGCAGGACCCGGCGGCATCTGAGCTACCTGGAGGGGAGGGGCAGTGAAACAGGGCTCCTCTAGAGTAGATAGGAGGGCGGGCTTTCTGGGGCCGTGGATTCCCAGCCCCCACGTGCTCCTCAGTGGGGCCCTGTGCCCTGGAGTACACCAAGATGAAGACGGCAGACCACTTCTGGACTGACCCCTCAGCCGATGAGCTAGTCCAGAGGCACCGCATCCACAGCTCACACCTGCGGCAGGACTCGCCCACCAAGCGTCCAGCCCTCTGTGTGAGTGGGGCAGACGACGGGAAGGCGGAGGGACTTGGCATGGGGACAGGGAGCAGGGTAGAGTCCCCCAAGGTCCTTCAAGGCCCCCTCTCTCCATCTCCCCCCATCCTCCCAGATCCAGAAGAGGCATTCGAGTGGCAGCATGGATGACCGGCCATCCCTCTCTGCCCGAGACTATGTGGAGTCCCTGCACCAGAACTCCCGGGCCACCCTGCTGTACGGCAAGAACAACGTTCTGGTCCAGCCGGTGAGGGCTTGTCCTGGGCCCAGATCTAGACACTGATGGTTTGACTCTTGGTAACAGAGGAGATGTCCCCGCGGGCTCAAGGCTGCTCATCCATCCTTCTATCTACCACCCACGCACTGTCTACTCATCCACTCACCATTCATTCATCCATCTGTCTGTATCCATCCACCCACCCATCCACCCATCCATCCACTGTCCACCTGTCCAACCACCATTCATTCATTCATCTATGTCCATCCACCTGTCCACTCACCTCCCCATCTGTCCATGCATCCATTCACCATTCGCTCATCCATCTGTCTGTATTTCTGTCCACTCGTCTATCCACTCATCCATCCATCCACCCATCCATCAGTCCCATTTATTTTCTAGTTTCTGCACCCACCCACCTGCCTATCCTGCCTCCTCTCCATCTATTCACTCTCATTCTCACTCATTCAGCAAACATTTACACAGATCTGCTATGTGCTGGATGTGTAGAATATTAAGATCCTTATCCACATGACAAATATTTATCGAGTGCTTCCTGTGTGTCAGACACTGTGTGAAGCTTTTGATCACATTAACTCTCTTAAACCTCACGACCCTTTGAGGTAGATACTGTTATTATAGATGGCAAGACTGAGGCCCAAATGGGTGATGTAAGGGGCAGTGTTATGACCTGACTTCAGGCCAATCAGTGTCAGAGTCTGCACCATTGCTCAGTTGCCTTCTCTGCCTCAACATCTGGCCAGGTTCCAGGGATGGGTGCTGAGTGAACCACATGCAGTCCCTGCACTCACATGGCGTCCCCTTTGGCTGTACCCTCCCGGGGCCATCTAGTCACAGCAAGGTGTTTGAAGCAGAGGGATAGCTGTCAGCCACTCATTTCCACAGCCACAGTTTTAATCACGGGGTGGCCCTGAAGTCCCTTCTCCCTCTGAGCCTCAGGATCTCATCACAATAGATACAAGAACCCATTTCCAGCCTGCACCAAGCCTTTCATCCCAGCACTTGGGGAGGCCAAGGTGAAAGGATCGCCTGAGTCCAGGGGTTCGAGACCAGCCCGGGCAACTTGGTGAGCCCTCGTCTCTACAATATATCAAAAAATTAGCCGAACCTGGTAGCGCACGCCTGTAGTTCTGGCTACTTGGAAGACTGAGGCGGAAGGATCGCCTGAGCCCAGCAGGTCGACGCTGGGGTGGCCGCGAGCATGCCACTGCACTGCAGCCTGGGCGACAGAGTGAGACTCTTACTCAAAAAACAAACAAACAAAAAGAACCCATTTCTTCAGATCTAAGAAACCATGAATAACCAGCAAGAAAGTAAAGATGCTATTTAGATATACAATGCTTTTCCCTACTTGTAAACTTTGGCTTATGCTTTTCGAGAAAGGTTTTAGAGACTTATATGGATATAGGGTGTTTTTGTTTGTTTGTTTAGTCATACATCACTTTTTAAGTATACACAAGAGAAATATCATTGAAATAGATTAATTAGGATATTCTAAAAATCTCTTCCAATTCAGAGTTCCATCTTCTGTATCACTTTTTTTTTATTTTTCCTGAGTTAGAGTCTTACTCTTGTCACCCAGGCTGGAGTGCAGTGGCATGCTCACGACCACCACAGCCTCAACCTGCTGGACTTAGGTGATCCTTCCACCTCAGCCTTCCAAGTAGCTGGAACTACAGATGCATACCACCATGTCCAGCTAGTTTTTTTGTGATTTATTGTAGAGACAAGATCTCACCAAGTTGCCCAGGCTGGTCTTGAACCCCTGGACTCAGGCATTCCTCTTGCCTTTGCCTCCCAAAGTGCTGGGATTACAGACTGAGCCACCACACCTGGCCTACATTTTGACTTAGTCATTAATACCTTCATTTTCCTACGTATCATTTTCTGTTTCGTTGAGAAGGGGGTCAAAAAATTATAGCCTGTGGATTCATGTGGCCCTCCACCTGTTTTTGCAAATAAAGCTTTATCGACCCACAGCTGTGACCATCAGCGTACATGTTGTCTATGATTGCTTTCAGGCTACGATGGCAGAGTTGTGTGGTTACAGCTGAGCCTGTGTGGCTCACAGAGGCAAATATATTCCCTATCTGACCCTTGACACAAAAGTTTGGTGGCCTCTAATCCAAGAACACAGGAAGTGAAGCATTTTTGGCAAGCATCTACTCCTATTTCTGAGTTGGTTCTTAAGTTCTGTAAAGCAATTGGTTGTTGCTTTGCAAGAAAATCTGGAAGCAAGGGTGAGTGACATAATATGCCCGCTTCCCCAAAGACATACAAGCATTCCGCTGTTCTGCTCCCTGCCTTCCTATGCTCACAGTAACTTTTCAATTCCAAGCTGAATCACAGGCTAATCTTTTTGAAGATATTTACAATAGCACCTACACTTGCTTGTGACGTAACAACCAGGCACAAAACTTAATTGAAGCGACAACTATGACTGAGTTTGTGCAAGATCAGGCAATGACAACCATGTTATGGTTGTGAGAAGCCGTGGATGATAAGACCCATCCCCATTTCAGGTGTGTTAAAACGTGAAAACAAGAGGTGCTTCTTCAGACTGATGAAACTCTGCAGGGGGGCTCACTCAGGGGTTAAAAGCACCTGTGGCTCCATGGAGACAATGCTTGTGGAGACTGAGCCATGCTCAGTACACACTTGGTGTTCAGTAAATGTTGAGGTGGATTTGATAGAGGGGTTGCCTCCTCTCGATGTGAGGAATGTGACAGTGTCCTCACCCAAATACCCACTTGGGATAAAACAAAGCAGGTGAGAGGCAAGTTCTGGGAGGACAGAGGGTCTTACTCCTAGGTGGGGAGAATGGGGAATACTTGGGGAGGAGGTTTCTGGGTGATGTCTGTGGAATGGACCAGAGGACTCAGCTGCCATCTCTTTTCGCTCTTAAGACCGGCCAAGATACATGCCTTCTGTTTTTGGAAAGGGTGATATTAGGGGCAGAGCCCCCCTTCCTGGCTCTGAAGGAACTTTGGGACAATGCCCCTCAGTCTCAGGAAGAGCATGAATGTGAAAGTGTCGGAGGTGGGAGGCTTTCACAGCTGGACACTAGAACCTGTCATGGGCGGCTGGCTGCACATGGCTTTGCTTAGCATGGCCACCTAGAAAGAGGGTTACAGTCTTCCAGATGGCCAGGGCCTTGAAAGGAATGTCCCAATCTCTTGGTTCTGGTTACGCATCCTTGAGTCAGATGGACCAAGGCCTACGTCCGCTGTGACTCCAGCACTGTGGCCAGTCCTGAGTCCTTCTCTCTCTGCAGAGGGACGACATGGAAGCTGTGCCGGGGTACCTGTCCCTGCACCAGACGGCTGACATCATGACCCTGAAGTGGACGCCCAACCAGCTGATGAATGGCTCTGTGGGGGACCTGGACTATGAGAAGAGGTAGGCAGTGCGTTCGCCATGTGTCCCTGGGTTCTCTCCTTCCTTTGGCACAGAGAAGTTTCCCTTCTGAGGAGGAGAGACTTATGCCCTGCCCTTGCCCACTACTCTGCCTGGCAGTCAGGGCCACCTTGGCTAAGCCTCTCTGCAGCTGTGGCCTCATGGGAAACTCAAAGACTTGGAAGGATTCGGAAACCAACTGAAAGACTGTTAGGGCTTGGGAGTTAGACAATGCCTGGGTCAATCTTTACAAAGACCTCATAAGCCTGCAAATGGCAAGATGCTCCCCAGTCTCCAGCCACCCTTCCCCGTCACTCAATAAAAATATGGAGGCAGGACGTGTTAGCGAGGGTCTGTTCCAGGGCTGCTTTGCTATGAAATCCCGCCTTTGGAGTCATGCATGAAAGGGATGCTCGGACATAGGATTTCCAGCAGCAGCACCTGCATTCCAGCACAATTAGGGGATGCTTTTTTATTTTTATTTATTTATTTATTTTTGAGTTGGAGTCTCACTCTGTCGCCCAGACTGGAGTGCAGTGGCCACTCCC